TTCCTCCTCTCTCAGACAAATTATATATAACTTTTTGTATTAACACATTTAGGTACACCTGCATTTTTGCAGCTGCCCTAGACTATGTGAAGGGGGGTACAGTGTGTCAAGAAATGCTAAATATGATTCTACGTGATGCTAAATATGATGCTACGTGATGGTAAATATCATGCCATATGATGCTAAATATCCCCATCACACAGGATGGTTAGTCATACAGAGGCATGTCATCAGTAGCCTGAACTGTGGGTGCATTATGAGGATATATTCGAGAACGAGGGAGTTAATGTAATCACCTAGTTGCGCTTTTTGGGGTTGAATTTTGGTCCTGCCCTCCTCTCTTTGGCTCTGCCTCTCAACCATCAATCAACTAGTGTACAGGGTCCGAGTCTATTGGGTTCTATTGTATCAACATTTGAAATTGTGTGGGGTACATGGGCAACATGTAGTAATGAATATCAAATAAATAAAAAATCATTTCATCCGATCCAGGATGAAAGAGCAAAATTATTCTTGCGGGAATTACTTTGGCAATGTGTCAGTTGGCACCCATTTAATGTATGCGAATCCCAATCCGCCTCTGTTGGGTACGTACCCAACAGCAATTACTTGAAAAATATGGCTGAAGTTAACATCAAGCAACTGGCCTTCAGCCTCAGACAGCGACAGACAGACAACCATTCTTATTTATAAATATAAATAAGGTGCAGTCCACAATCCATGATTGTCACTATGGTCACCTGAGAATCGAACTTGGGGCCTGAAAAACACGAAACTTTGTCCAACCAACTTTCATGGCCAATACACAATTTTCAAGTCAATACCCATTTATTAAATCTCTTTTGATAAGAAAAAGGAAGGTGCAATATTGTACCTCACCACCACTTCTCTTTCACAGTGAAAGATCTCTAACTGAGCCACTGTTTAGAGAAAGATGTCAGTTAATTTTACTCAAAATGTTTCACATTCTCTTGATAAAATTTTCCCATTCACATTCTCTTCATTTTAAATTCCAACTTAAAACAGCTTGCTCCAAAAAATACTGGAATTAAATCTTCAACTCTTGGCTCTTCCTTCAGACATTTTAATTTTGTGGAGACCATTATGAGCGTAGTCTTAAATGTGTGAGTTAATGATCTTAGCTCAAAACCAAGTTCAGTTTTTATTAACATCTTTTTTGACAAAAATTAATATAAATTTTGCCTAATCTGAGGAATTCAATTAAGTCTTACTAGAGTGAGGATAATGCTAGTATTCACTGTCACACAGGACAGAGGGTCATACTCAAGACAATAGGTCTACACTGTAGGGTGAAGCACATATATATCATGGTTACAATCAATGTTTCGATATACATATAACTTTTTGTATTAACACATTTAGGTACACTTGCATTTGTGCAGTACAAATATGTAAATACAACTTTCTATTGTTCAGTGCAGTAATTCCTGTTGCTCAGGGGCTAGATTCACGAAGCAGTTATGCAAGCACTTACGAACGTGTACATCGTTCCTCAATCTTTGATGCCTTTGGTTACATTTATTAAACAGTTTACAAGCATGAAATCTTCCCAATCAACTGTTGTTGTTATAAACAGTCTCCTGGTGCTTCGGAGCTCATTAACTGTTTAATAATTGTAAACAAAGCCGCCAGAGATTGAGAAAAGCTGTACAGGTTTGTAAGTGCTTGCGTAACTGCTTCGTGAATCTGGCCCCTGGATCCCACGACGACCGGACTCATCAAGCAACCCCTTACAAAACCTGTACATCTTTCCTCAGTCATGGCGGCTTTACGTGTATTAAATAGTTTATTAGCGCCGAAGCACCAGTAGGTTATTTATAACGGTAATAACCTTGAGTTATGATTTAAGAAAGATGTACAGGTTTCATAAGCAGTTGAGCAAGTACTTGACGAGTCCTGGCCCAGGCGGGAGTGAAAACGTTGATAATGGTAGTTTGTATCAGTCGTAATCATACAGTTATTGAGTGGAATTGGAAATTTAAGTAAAATCTAAATCAAATAGTTCATTCTCTTTAGAAATATTACTACATATGAATCGATATATATATAGGACAAGGCGACAGGTCTTGTAGCACAATGGTCTACGTCCTCGGCTCACAATCAAGGGTCCCAGAAAAGAAACGGTTGGACATGGTTCCTTCCTTCTAATGCCACTGTTCATCTAGTAGAAAACTTAGGGGGCCTGGGAACTAAGCAACTATTGTGAGTTGCATCCTGGGGAAGGTCAGTTGTTGACCTGGGGGGCAGGGACCTCAGTCAACCCAAGTGCAAGCTTCGTGTTCCCGTCACTGGGAATAATTAATATAATCAGCATCACTATTAAACCGCAGTTATCCAGGCGATACGAGGATAGGTTAGAAAGACACGGTAGTGACAGTGATATATGTGATTTATATAACTACTTTATTACTTAATTATCAAGAAATTGTAAATCATGCTTAAATTCTAGACACTATATTAATGTTATCTTATTTGACAGCTTCTGTGGAGGGTCGTCTTGGAGAAAGCACAGCATCTGTACGGCCAGCCTTGAGCATTGCTGATCCACCCAAGCCAATTGCTGTTAAAACAGAACGCCCTCATCTTCCACCATACGGGTAAGCAATTGACTTGGTAATCCATACAACCTCCTTTGTATTGCATCCCTGCATGCCTTTTGAGATCATTATGCATCTCACATAACACATATTATCCATTCTCAAGTCACAATCGACTTGAGAATGATCTAGGATGGACCGAAACGTCATCGTCCCTTCACTTTCTAGTGTGTGGTTTGGTCTCAACATATTTCAGTCACGTTATTGTGACTCCTCATCTGCATCTCACATAACTTGCTCAATACAACATGTCTGTTAGTCCTATATTATTTTGAGTATAAAGTTTCAGCAGACCATAGCAGCTATTGTTTAGGTAAGCGTGTAATGAATATCTACAATAGAATATGATTATGATGCAAATCATATTTTTTTTTTCAGTTGCAGCAACGGTCCCGTTGACGTGGGCCATTACCCTGCAAACTATCCTCCTCCAAGTGTTGGTGCTGTTACCTCTGCCCCACCACCAACGGTCACCACAGCTGGGGACCACAAGCCAGTCTATCTGCCCTCCCATCAGCCACATATACCCCAAACTCAGCCACATATTCCCCAAACTCAACCTCATATACCCCAAACTCAACCACATATTCCCCAAACTCAACCTCATATACCCCAAACTCAACCTCATATACCCCAAACTCAACCTCATATACCCCAAACTCAACCTCATATACCCCAAACTCAACCTCATATACCCCAAACTCAACCTCATATACCCCAAACTCAACCTCATATACCCCAAACTCAACCTCATATACCCCAAACTCAACCACATATACCCCAAACTCAACCTCATATACCCCAAACTCAACCACACATACCCCAAAGTCAAACTCATATACCCCAAACTCAACCACAGCATACTACTCCATCACTTCCCACAGCACATACTCCTCATACTCATCACACACCTCATACACCCACAGTTACATCAACTGTCACGCCTACTCCTGCGCCTCATACCCCACACACACCCACACTTCATACTCCTCATACTCCAACACCTACAACACCCACTCCCACCCCTCCGCTCCCACCTCGGCAACCATCTGCACATATTCCACACTCACCATCACCACACTACCTCCCTCAACCTGTGGCCTCATCTACAACAACTACAGTTACCACAACCACCACCACTACCACCACAACTACCACAACCTCTACCAGTGTTACTCATAATCATGTGGGGAACAGTGGTCGTGTAAGCAATGGACCAGTGGGTGGAGGAGGTGGGGGTGGCCAGGGGGTGGGTTCCTCGGTGAACAAGTATAGTGTGAGTGCCTTGGTGTCACCTACACCACAGCGCAACCACACGCTCTATAATAGTGTCAAACCAAGTCCAGTAGCATCACCACACAATCACGTTCGATCACCACATCCATCCCCAATCGGTGCTACACCTACTGCTGCTGCTCCAATTAAGCCTCCAACTCCTAACACCCCGACTGGTCCAGTTTCTGTTCCTGTGCCTTCAGCTGCAGTAACAGGATCAGCTCCAGGGCCAGCAGCACCATCTTTACCTTATGGGGTGAAGATTGAACCAGGGGAGACAGCCAGACCGAGTCCAGTAAATAAAAGCTCGACTGGTCCCCCTCCTCATTCAGTACCAGCTACAGCCAATGTTAAAATAGAGCCCGGCTACCCACGCTCTACACCACCTTCCACCACAAAGGTTTCTGCACCTCATTTGCAGTCAGTGATACCTTCTTCTGCAAGACATTCACCCAGGACTCACGATCATCATATTTCACCATATAGGTGAGGCGCTTCTGTGACATTTATGAATATTAAAACTATAGTATAAGTAAGTTTCAGTTACCAATAATCACAATGATTAGTTTTATTGAATTACAGTATGTATTAAGTTACAAAGAACTTGTAATTAGTTCAGAAAATATACAGATAAAAAAAAGGGATTACAGTAATAATTCAAATACCATCAATTATCAGATATTTAGTACAATATTTATCAATAAACTTTCTCATTTGAAAGAATAAAGCATCATAGCTGCAAAAGGGGCTTCTTGATTAGGTAAAATCATTTTGCTTATCTTCTAGTAATGTTGTAATCTTAATACTATGTAGTAGATTTTGCATTACATTGGGGTTTACATACTGTGCCATCTTAGTCTGCTAAGTGTAGCAGGCGAAGTGTATGGCAGAACCATGATTGGAAGGGTACAGAAGATAACTTAGAATATAGTTAGTGATGAGCAATTTAATTCCTTAGTGGAAGAGTCCAACCATTTGGGCTGGACGGTAGAGCAAAGGTCTCGCTTCATGCAAGTCGGCATTCAATCCCTGACCGTCCAAGTGGTTGGGCACCATTCCTTCACCCCGTCCCATCCCAAATCCTTATCCTAATCCCTTCCAAGTGCTATATAGTCGTAATGGCTTGGCACTTTCTCCCTCCTTAGTGGAAGATTCTACATGGTATCAGATATACATTGAGATATTTAGTAGGATAAAATATGTGCGAAAGACTATAAGTTCTAGTTGGCATTTTTATACTTGGAAAAATCATTGGATAAAGTGAATATGGAGGGACGTTGGTGAGCATTGAGAATGTATTGAGTCGGTGGAATGCAATTAGTTGCTGTATAGAGCTTTTATATAGGAGATAGTTCATTTATGAGTAGTGATTGTACTGGTGTAATCAGTGACTGGTTCGTTATTACTGTACGAATCTGTTGTGTAATGATGTCGTTGTTGTATAATGTATATATGGATTGGGTTATGAGAGTGGTCTAGGTATGAATGCCAGGAAATGGAGTGAAATTGGAGAATTATTGAAATAAATGGCGTTATACAGTATTCAGTTGACTAGCAAACAATAATAGGGACATAAATTGAGACAGTGACATGTCATGAAAAAACTGTTAAGGTAAGCTTAATATGACAGCATTAAGTTCTTTGATGAAGCTGAATAGATAGAGGAAGGAAGAAAAACTAAGTATTTAGTAATTGATGAAACTGTCATGAAGTTGGACAGACATGGTTAGGAATCAGGGATTAAGTATGAACAGGGCACAAGAAGTGGTAGGAAATAAGGCTTTACAATCTGTTTGTGAAGAGAAGGAATGTATGACATTTTACAATTGACAAACTCATCTGAAGCATTTTACACTTGGTTGTATGAACCAGTAGAACCTTTATCTGGATATATTGCTGTGTTTGCAGGTCGTGTGTGAGGCCTCGGTAAGGCAGATATGGCAGATGGATAAGGGTGTCTATATTTGGAAATTTTTATTCTTATCCTATTTGCTATATACTGTATTATGGAATTATGCCTCCCCAACCTTTGAAAGTGGGAAACAAGGCGGTGATGGTGATGAGGGTGCAACCACTTTGCTCCCTCATTTATGGAAAACAGTGAACATTTATATGCATTTTATGAATACAGTACCTGCTTGATACCTGGTTGATGGGGTTCTGGGAGTTCTACTCCCCAAGCCCGGCCCGAGGCCAGGCTTGACTTGTTTACATTTTGTACAATTTTTTTGTCTAAATAATGTTTTTGTCTAAATTTAATACAATAACTGAATTAAATGTACTTGAATGTATTGCACATCACAGGGCTTGTTTTATTATGCTAAGCTAATTTTTTCTGTTCACAGTTCAGCAAGTGTCGTTGTAAGCAGTGGGCAGTCGATACCTTCATTATCACGGCCTTGGCCTAGGTATGCTATTTATGTGACATTGCATTTTTTGTCATTCTATAACTTAATTTTATGCTTTCTATATAGTGTTATTTTTGCACATACTGTATTGTACAAGATCAGGCTAGAATAGCAGGGTACTCAAACTTTTTTCATTGCCATTATATTTGCCTAAAAAGAAAGTAATAATAATATTTATATGAAGAATGAATATACCTGTACGTACATTAGTGATATCTCTCAAATGGAATGATTGGTTTTCTGTTGAATAATTTTTGGTTCACATTTTTTTATTTATTTAGTGTGTTTTTAGGGAAAGTGATAGAACACACATTTTTGCATATGTTTATACAAAATCATGCAGGCATAGAGAAATAAATGAATTTTAAATATATAAATGCAAATGTAGATTCAATGCAAATTCTGGTTCTCGGGATTATCTTGTTTTATCAGGCCACATAGTCAAAGTGGGTTATATTTTACATAAATTAGAAATGCTATGCAGTATCATACAGTACTGTAATAAATATTTTTTGTTATTTGCTATTTGTTATTTGCTATTTGTTTAATGATAATATTGATGTGATTTTTTTCCTTTTCATTTCAGCTCAGTATCCAGTCTAGCATCAAGCAGTTCTGCCAGATTATCTTCCTTGAGTCGACCGCCACTGCCGTTGCCCTCCTTTCCCCTAGCTCATCCACCAGTCTCTGCTCCTTTGCCGCCTACGGGCATGTTTGCACCGCCTGTTCCACACTCGCAACAACTTACCTCCTCTTCTCTTATTCCTCCATCACATCTGAATCCTGACCCCCTCGGTAAGCCAGAGTTGTATGATTATGTTAGTCACTGTTGTAATCGCTGCCTGTATTGAAAGCAATATTTGAAGGGAAATTCTCAAGCTTCCCATTTAAGGAGCTAGGTTTTTTCCAAGACCAACATTTTATTTAAGGATATAGGTTATGTCCCAACTTGGAGCTATGGGACACTATTAGTATTGCCAAATATAAAGAGATGGGCTCCATTTCAAAATAGATTTGGTAATATGTTTACAGTCTGTCATTTGCCTGTTAAATTTAGATTTGATATATTTATTCTTTTAAAATGTTCACAGTTTTAAGTAAAATTTATGAAGCTCATGTTTACATAAAGAAAATGAATGCAATTTATTTTATAGAGATAATGCTGAGAATATTTTCTATAATTCCAAAATTCAATGTATTGTGTATTATGTTGTTATACAGTTTCCTATTTTTATTTATTTTTATTTATTGTTTACAGGTGAATCTAAATATTCTAATGAAAATTTGTTGTTTACAGGCCAAGCAGATCTTCTACGTAGGGAGCTGGACTCTCGATTTTTGGCCCAACAAGAACGCACGTTGGGCCTTGGGCCTGCAAGTCTAGGGGGTTTAGGTGCTCCTCCTGCCTTTTTACGCGCTGAGATGCACCACCACCAACACCAACACACACACGTTCACCAACACCTTCTTCCTCATATGCCTCCTCCACCATTACCACCCCCGGCTGCATCCAGTCTCTTCTCGCATCCTTCGTCTCCTTCAATGGTACGTCATAAAGCACAGCAAAGTATAAAAGCATCTGTTCATTTATTTAAATTATATTAAATATCTAGAAAATTTAGCTGCAACTTATATAATGTCTTATTCAATTTATTTGTATAGTGGGTTTATCTCTATTCATGGTACAGTACATTACTTAAAAGCTGAAATCTTTGCTCAATTAAACATTCATTAATCTTAAAGCTGATATTCAGAAATTTTGATGACAAAATAAGTTATGACTTTTAAAACAGTGCTGCTTTTTAAACTATTTCAGTTTCATTTACCCTTGAGTCTTTATCACAAAACTGAATTCATCTGAATTCTAAATTTCCTTATTTTTTGGATACTTTTTTGTCTTGTGTGTAATTTTATATATATTTAATTTTGCCAAATGAAAGAAACATTCACCCCAAAATAATTTCATTCATGCTTGGGTGAACCCCTTCACCAGTTTAAGCAGCACTGTTTAAGAGCATTAATATAGTATTTGCATAGATTATAGCATTATTATGTTAACCAGTTTAAGGAAGTGAGCAAAGTGGGGCTGGAGAGTGGCTTGTACCGACCAGGAGGCGGCCTAGGCAGCAGCTACCCTCCAGGACTCAGCCCACTAGTACATCCTCCTACCTCAACTTTTGCACCGCCGTCTCACCTAGCCTCTGTGGCACCTAAGGTGTGTTTTACCGTGAGTTCAGAAAGAGTTGTGTTTCGTTACCACTTGTACGTGTTTTTCACATCCTCTGCCAACCTTGTTATTTATTCATTTGTTGAAGAACCCGCAGTTGTCCTCAAAATGTTTGTGGAGCTATAATGTTTCTTTAACAGGTAAGGATGTATTGTATAAAATGATTTAGAGAACATTTGTAATGTTTGTGACAAAATATACAGTATTACCAGCGGAATGTGTTTCAAGTTGTGTTTGATGTTAGAAACCAATTTAATATTATTATTTAGTCATTATATGTTTTATATAAAAGTTATTTGCAGTAGCATTCATTTAGATCTTTATATTATAATGTGGAAATTTGCAAGGACACACCAGAGGTGTAAGAAGCCAAATCTAGTACAACAGTGTGTTTAATGAAGGAATTAAGATGCATACTGTCAAAGATAAAAAAAAAAGTTTATATTTTTAGTGTGTTTGTGTCATATCTTACTGTGAGGAAATAGTGCCCTCCTGTAGCGCAGTGGTCCACGCAATCGACTCTCAATCAGATGGTCCCGGGTTTGATTCACAGGTGGGATGAGACATTTATGCTTGTTGCCGTACACCTATAAATAGGTACCCCAGTAGTTTTGAATTGTAGGCTGTGTCCTAGGGAGGGTGAAGGGGAAGGTGCATGTGCAGAGAGAACAGTTGTTGGCACAGGGGGACCAGCCATGGTCCCCCTGTGAAGCCTGTAAAGAACAGGCTTCCTGTCTGCAGCGGTTTGAACCATAACCAATGACAGTCTAATTGGGGAATAAATGCTGGCTGGCTAAATAAATGCTAAATAAAGGTTGCTGATAGTCACTATCTGGAGAATTTTTTAGTTGTTGGTTTAGTTGCCATAAGAATGGAACAAATGGTTATTGAAAAGACAGTGTGTCTTAGATCAAATGGCACAGATTATCTACAAACACTGCTATGTGAGTACAGTATACCAGAGAAAGAACGATTAATGGAGAATGGGACACTTCTTTCACTTTCCCTACAGTAGGGAAACTGGTGCATATTTAACTCCACCACCAAGTTACCAGCAGTGCCCTCAAAACTCACTGCAAGCTATAATCAATAATTTGAGAATACTAATTCTTGTTCTGCTAGCTACTATTTAAGAATAAGAATTAGCACAGTCACATCCAGGTGGCAATTTCAGTACAATATGCTTCATCACATGTGATGATCAGAAGAACGTGACAAATCACAATCAGAAAGTAATTTTCAAGTAGTTTTATTGTGCATGTAAATATGCAATATATATTGAGTTGGTCATGGACAAAAACATGCATCCCATATGCTCTAAAACACTGTAGTTAGCAAAACAGTATTGGCAGAGCCAGCAATCCCACAAGCAAGCTTGGAAAAGAGGAGAGGCCAAGGTGAGAAAACTGATGCATCTGAGAGATCAGCTGTGTACGTCTTTCACTATGTCCAACACACCGGTTCTGAGCTAAATTTCCTATGATGTCTCCTGAACAAAGGCACTTAAACTGTATCGTAGTGACCAGAAAACAGAAAACCCGAGCTGAAGATATGGAGAGCAGGGACTACACGGATTAGAGGTGAATGTAGAGCTGATACCACAGACCAAAGACCAAAGCTGGAATATGCAGCAGTTGTAGGGTTCCCATATCTTAAGCAGCACCTCAACAAACTGGAAAAGGTGCAAAGACATGCACCTAAGTGGCTCCCAGAACTGAAGGACAAGAGTTACGAGGAAAGGTTAAGAGGCATTAAATGTGCCAAAACTACAAATAGAAAAGAAAGAGGTGATATGATCACTACGTACAAAATATTAACGGGAATCGATAAAATTCATAGAGAAGAATTCCTGAGATCTGGAACTTCAAGAACAAGAGATCATAGATTTAAACTAACTAAACACGGCTGCCGAAGAAATATAAGAAAATTCACTTTCGCAAACAGAGTGGTAGACGGTTGGAACAAGATAGGTGAGAAGGTCGTGGAGGTCAAAACTGTCAGTAATCTCAAAGCGTTATATGACAAAGAGTGCTGGAAAGACGGGACACCATAAGTGTAGCTGTCATCCTGTAACTAACTACACTTAGATAATTACAGGTACTCAGCCACTCACCAGCACCAAATGGAAGACAAGTGGCACAGGACTACACCGTGACACTGAAAGTGAGGCCCATCAGGTAAAAAATTAGCAGCAAATATATGATTATACCTACAAACCCCTGAGACAGTATCTCAGAGCAGAATTTGGCATTAAAAAAATGTTCCAGATTTTTAGGTCATTCTCTTGAAGGTAAGCACCAGGCTTCCTAAGGTTAACTGCTCAGCAGAGAAGCTGAGAGAGGCAAATTTAAAAATATGGAGCCCAGATGTAGGGATTTAAGACAATAGCAGAATAAGTGATATAAGAATGAAGAGAATAAATCACAATAATGCAACAGAAAACAAACAACAACCCAGTCCACACATATGGCTTTAATATGCAAAGTGCTTTCCTTTAATTACTTTCATTTTCTCCCCTGGGGCCTTGTTTTCCTTGTCTGCAGAGCTTATTCTTAGCACCAGGAAGTATGTAGCATGTATTGTGATGGGGAAACGGGTTTGTTTTGATGGTTGTTGATGTTCATATTAATTAGATTTATTTTTTTGGAGAAGAGCCCCCTTGGGCTCCATGAAGTTATCATATACTGATATGGTACCATCTGCAGAGTTCTGTAGGTCTACTGGGAATTAGTGCCAGAACCTGGCCCCTGCACAGAGACTCAGGGATCAGTGACATTTGTTTATTTATGTATGCCACCACTGGGGAGGGTAACCAGAAAGTTAGTGAGTAAAAACAAACCACCGCAGCCTTTAAAACTGCTGAAAGAACTCCTGCCCCCCCAACTATATAAATAAATGATCAAAATCTCTTGGAACTAGAACAAACTCGCTTGTTCACCTTCCCCGCTCATTTGGGGGTGGAGGGAGGTAGCTTACTGTCAGTCAGCATCTCCACCCTCAGTTCTATGCTGATGTAGTGGGCGCTAGGTCACCTCTCTTCCTCCCTGGCTCTGGTTTTCTGATGTTTCAGCTTTGAAGATTTTTGCCCTTGGTGGCTTTTCCTGTACTCTTAGGTGTAGTGTGAGCCTTGATTTGAGAACACTTAGAGCTGTATGTGCACATGGTTATCTTCCCTGTGTACTCCCTAGTGCTACCCATACATGCTAGTGTTATCTGTTCAGGGGTCGCTTCTTTAGAGGTCCTCCTCCTCGGTGGTGGTGGCCCTCGCACAGGATAAGTCAGATGTGTTGGGACTTTTCTGCCATTCCTTGGGCCAGGAGTGACATTTGGCTGGCAATGCGATATGTATTATGTGTATTATTAACTTTGTTATTTTATATACAGTACTGTACTGTAATTCCAAATTCATGTTGGCCAGTTAAGTCCACACTTTAAGATCTCTATTTTTCAACAGATTGGTGAACAAACGCAACGCAAACCAGTGGTTAGTTCATTTGTTTTTAAAGTATCTGAATTTTTTATGAACTATACATAAAAATCACAATTTAAGTATTTTATCTAATACTGTATTTTGCAAAAATTCAACTAAAATAAGAAGTCAACCAAAAAAACATTTTATTAGATTTTATGCATTGTAGTACCATATACTCTATATAACTCAGATATTATGCGTGTTTCTTGCAGAAGACGGGTCGCTGGAATGCAATGCATGTGCGCATTGCTTGGGAAATTTATTACCACCAGCAGAAGCAGACACCAGAGAAACCCAGTGCTAAACTTGGAGGCCAAGACCCTTTTCGGCCTCCATCAGGACCTGGTGTTGGGGGTGGTCCTCCTGGTGCACCAATATTTCCTACCCTGCCTCGACCACCTGATTTGGGACCCTCTTTATTGGGCGGTCCCGGGCCTTCACACCGCTACGAGTCACCTTTATTAAGCCATTCTCACCTCACACCCTCTGTGCCTGGCCTGAGTGGCACAAGGTACCCTGGAGGAGGGGCACCTGGGCCTCCCCCTTCAGCAGCAGCAGCAGCAGCAGCTGCAGCAGCATTCCACCATGGGGGTGTAACCCCAACATCTATACCAGGACCCCCACCAGGCTCAATGTTCTCAAGAGAAACATTACCACCTGGCCTAACTGTACCACAACCCACACCTCACGATGCTTGGAGGTAAATCTATGCTCCCTGGTTTAGTGTTGCATAATAGTTTTCATAGACATAAGTACACCACAGCTTTAATTACAGCATTTGCAACACTAATTTTGTTTTTTTTTAATTGCTGAACTCAGAATCTTATTTATTTTAAGTGGACAAAACTAAAGACCAGCAATATTAAAATTAAAGAATCTTGAAATATTTTATCAGTACAGTATATTGAATCTTTTGATAAAGGATAAAATTATATTTTATTTCTGAATTAATATCTTTATATGAGTGTGCTTCCCTATACACAAACTGGACTACATTAATCTCCATTAATTTATATTATCATTTTCATTTACATTGGGTAGGTGAAATATTGATGCACTTACAGTCGTGCCTCATATGTAGCTAAACTAACCTATAGTGAGCGGATTTTTCTTTTTGTTTAGGTGTACTATAGATTATCTATCTACTTATTAGATGCCTTATCTTTCCTATCCTTATCCACATCTTGTATATCCCACCCTTCTTGCATATCAATATCTTGTTTTCCCTGCAAACCTATTTCATATCTGTGCTTTATATTCCCATCCCCCTTATCCATATCTTGTCTATCCTGCTACACCCCCCCATTATCCTTATCCATACCTTGTCTTCCCTCCTCCTATCCTTCCTTAGACTCCTGGTGTGGTCACAGCAGCTTTGTCTACAGGCAGTCGTACCTTAATGTTATATCCTGGCTTGTTCAATTCACCCTATGTCCCCATGCAACCTTTTATCCACTGTATATAGTCCTCCACTTTTATTTTCTCTTGATTTTATTTTCCCTTCCAGTTCTGTCACCTGTCATCCTCTCGGTATGCGTACACCATCGTAAAATATTTCTTTTAATCCCATTCTATCAGCCTACACCTCATCCTTGTCCTCTGACATCCTGCATCTTTCGTAAACTTGAAAATTAAGGGCTACATTAATGTATTGTGTGTGCTTGTGTTACATTTGTATTGATTGTTCACCTTATGCTATTTGGCTACATTAGGATTGCATTTTGGTTTACCGGAATTAATCCATTAATTTATACTGTTTAGCAAGTACATTATACAGTATATTCTGTACTTCACTAGCAGCCCTTTTCTTTATTAAAGGAGATATATTTAAAATATAAAGCAAATTTTCATTGTAATAAATGATGCTAAAAATATATATTTCTCTTTTTGAAATATAAAGTATAAAAATTTACTTAATATCTGGTTTTCTTGAATTTCAATTAATTTGTTTTAAATATAATAAAAAGCAAAATCATAAGATTGATAGAGCAAGAAGAGAAGTGACCGAAAGCCAGTTTGAGTTTTTTATCCGTACCTTTTTTAGGTCACCGATCCAGCAACATTTTCCATGCCCTGCTTTTTCGCTTTGTGCCTTCAACCAAACCCCCCATGGATGTATTCTTGACATTTCTTCAAGCATTCATCCATTCATCTTTACAGAGGCTTGTTTGCTCTAGACATCTTTCTAACATCATTATTCTTACAAGGCTGTTCTCTAAAATCCTTGTCAGGTGATCAAATACCATCATCAGACTTGTGTCCTTGCCTTAGAATGTTAAAATAATTGGTGATTAATTAGGATACGTATTATTTAGCCAGTTGAAGATAGTTTAGGGATTTACCTAGATTAGTTAGCCTGTTGTTTAAGATAGTTTGATTATTAATCAACTAGGTTGGTCAGCCAGTTGGAAGATAGTTTGGGAACGGTCAGTTGCAATTTATTAGGTTTATTAGTACTGTATGTGAAAAGCATAGTAAGCCTTTGTTATTTGACCTTATTACTTTTTGAGTACCTTAATTATCAAATCTAATTAATGAAATTCTAACTGTTGGCCCTTAATCCTTAACCAGCATATTGAACAGAGTTCTTTAGTCCTTTACCTTGTACTGAATTTACCTTTACAGCACTTTTATTAAAATATACCCTCATTAAAAATAATACAAATAATACATTTTTAAAAGAAAACATATAAAAATATCAAGGTAATAGACCAAACAGATTTAAATAAGAGTTAAATCAAAGTGTCACTAATTAGATATAGTAGAGGCATGGATCAGTATCTTGGGTATAAAGACAGTAGTGCATCTATAACATTGGGGGGTATAAGTGGGGTGAACTTGACAAATTTTAAGGCATTTAATATGATTACTTAACCAAAGTCAAGACAGCTTTAATGTGAAGCTTCAGTAGTGCTTGTAGTACTGTTATAAATGTACCATAAACCCTCAAAAAGGGCCGAGATTCTTTCCTAGAAACCACGTGTGTAGGGAACCTGCTTAAGTTGAACTTAACAATATATTAGAAAAATGGAGAGGTTTTAGAGGCTCAACAATTTCAGTCTTCCATTCAATTACATATATCTAGCACCATATAGGGGTCTGACAGCCGAGTGGACAGTGCTTCAGATTCGTAGTCTTGAGGTGTTCCGGGTTCGATCCCTGGTGGAGGAGGAAGCAAATGGGCAGAGTTTCTTTCACGCTGATGCCCCTGTTACCTCGCAGTAAATAGGCACCTGGGAATTAGACAGCTGTTACGGGCTGCTTCCTGGGTATGTGTAACAAAAAGGAGGCCTGGTCGAGGACCTGGCCACGGGGAAGCTAAGCCCTGAAATCACCTCAAGATAACCTCAAGATAACCATATAAGTGTATTTAATCATGAGTGTAAGTGTTGAGGTTTGGCTATTTAGTCCCTGCTCTGAACTTTCACATGACTGGTACACAAGTTCCTGAGCCTATTGGACTCTCGTATCTGCATTTGAAGATGTGTTGAGTCATCCTGCACGTCTTCTCTTTTCAGCACATTCCATTTGCTTACTTCTCTGACACTGACAAAATAATTGTTAAAATGGGCTCCATGTCTCATTTTAGTACTGTACTTTGAATCCACAAACTATAATGCCATATTATCATTCAGAGATGACAACAATTTTTAAAGAGTAAATGTTTAAACTGATGGAAACCAAGTCTTCTAGTGGGCCACAGAATGCAGTATGATCAATTAATAAAAGTTCCAATTCCAGTGTTAGGGTAAAAGCAAGAAATTAAATTTAGAACCATATAGAAAACAGTCCAACCATACCGTAGAGATGAAGAAAGTATAAAACATCTGGGAGAAATAGTTTGAGAGGGACTTGTATTTAGAGAACACAACAAAGTAACTGCAAGAAAAATGATCGGTTGGATATCAAGAACTTTACAAATAACAGATACCAAGCCAATTATAAAAAAGTTCAAGATGATAGTTTTCTTCAGGGATGATTACTGTTGCACATTAACTGATCCATGTATGCTGGCAAATTATCTTACTTGGATAATATGCAGAGAACTTTTACTGCCAAAATCCATTCACTAAAACTTTCAAAATGTATTGGGAATGATTAAAATTCTTCAACTTGTATTTTCTGAAATGCAAGGGGAGAGGTTATATTCTACATTTGGAAAAAAGTTGAGGAATTTTTTACATATCTGGACACCAAAATAGTTTCTTAGCTCTTCGGTGGTCCAGCCCCTCTGCACGTTCCTGATCGTAAACACTTCCGGGCTTCCCAGAGCCCTGCTCACTGTGAAATGTTTACAATAATTTTGCATTTTCTAAGTTATTTGTTGGATTATAACTACAAATATGGTGTCAAAATGTTCACAAATGAATTCTCTAGAGAATAACTGCAAAAACAAAACTGTATTTATAATAGATTATGCGGAACAAAGATGAATATATGAATATTCATTAATATTTTAACATTCCTCATTAGTCATCCTAAATATAAAGTAAACCATATTGAAATGTGTGCACAGGATCATTCTACCGCATATAGCTGTAAAAAGAAAAACAACGTAGCTTTTAAGAAATGAAGAACCGATGATGTTTGGTCTGTCCTAGATGGATCAAAATGTCATCATTTCTTCATTTGCTGATGTGTGGTTAGAACACCATATCTTCAGCCAGATTAATTGATGCATTGTCTGCATAACTTTAAAACTTTAATTTATGTGCACTCTGAGAGCTATTGATGCCTGCCCATGACATAAAAAATGTTTATTTTATCATTTTACATTTTCAAAGTTATTTGTTTGGTTGTAACTAAAAAATTGGTGTCAAAATGTTTGCAAATGAATTCTCTAGAGTATAGAAGCAAAAATAATACCATATTTATAATAGATTATGTGCAACAGAGATGAATAGACAAATGTTTGTCTCAAGTGAGACCTCATAGACGAGTGAGAAACTCCCTCTCAATGCCCTAGATGGGCTTTGTCCACACAATAACAGCGATTTTCATAGCTTTCAGACTGCTTAATGCAACTAGAATAGCTCAAGAACTGAATACAAGAAGTTTAGTAATTGGATGATGCTTGAATATTTACTGTTGAAGTATGGTTGATGTTTTTTAGTGCTGTCAAAGCATAAAAGTGTTAAGAGACTAGGAGGCATGATTGAATGCGTAAAATAGTTCTATTGAAAAGAGGGGTACAGTAAGTACTCAAAAATTCTATAATCATAGCATTTCAAGGGCTTCTCAACACCCTTTCCACAAATCTAAGGGAAATTTCCAGTGGACCTCTTAATTGCTTAAAAAAAAGTTTAATAAACACAACTAGATTGTACCTTATTGACTTAGCTGTGGTGTCCATGTTGGACTGTAAGCTGCAGAGAGACCAATAGAGACTAATGGTTACTAATTGACAAAATTAGTAACCAGGAGACCAGGCTTCAGGGACACTTAATCCTTGGAACCACTTCAAGGTAGCGACCCTTTGCAAATAGTATGTCTTTGTCTGCTATGTCTATTCTTTTTGAAAATTTTGTATGTGGTAATCATGTCTCGCCTAACTTTTGTCTTCCAGTGATGCGAGGTTTAATTTTTGTTTGTCTTTCCTCATAAATCATACCCACCATTTCTGGGAATGGTCTGATGACAAACCTCGAGGTTTTTCCAGCTTCACTTTCTGTTAAATGAGAAAGGGACTCCATGGTAGGG